GCCCCTTTTAGTTTGTCACCCCGGCACTGGATAAGTTGTACGCAGGGCCAATAGATTCTGCCTAGCGGCTCTACGTCTAATCGTTTCTCAGCTACACACTATTGCGTGGGCTTTTACTCGAGGAACATCCGACACACTTTTCACCTCTGATTAGAACATCGCGGGGAGATCGACGACTTTCTCATACACAAGTGTAGCATCATGCCAGTACCCAATGTACGCCAAGTCGTGCCCGGCGCTGGTGTCAGCATCGTCCTCAAGGCAGATCAGCGCACCGGTCGCGAAGTCCAGGGCTTCGTCAAAGATGTCCTGACAAGAGGTGACCATCACCGCGGCATCAAGGTCCGCCTGGTCGATGGCCGGATTGGCCGTGTGCAACGCATGAGCGCTGGGCTGTCCACTGCTGGAAGTCAAGCCAGCGCTCACGATGATGGCTCGGCCACATCGGACGGCGCTGGTAGCATAGAACCAGCCAACCCACCACCGTCTGGTCGCTTCCCTTCGGGGCGGCGTGGTCAGTATCGCGATGTCCGTTTAGACGAACACCTCGAGGCACCGCCCGAGCAAGTTGATCTCGGTGCCTACATTGTGGCGCCGAAACGGAAAGGAAAAGGTCGTAAATCAAAGCCAACCGCTAATGAGAATGATGCATCCGAGGCTGCCCCGAATGCCGCTGTCGGGTCCGCGACGGCAGAATTTGCTTCGGAAACCGTGACGTGCCCGGTATGCAACGCATTTGAGGGCGATGAAGCTGCCGTTGCGCATCATGTTGCTGAGCATTTCGAATGATTGTATTGTCATTGACGGATGTCTCCACTATTCCCGACAGCAGATTCTAGAGCCCGGCCGATTTGGGACCGCATCCAGGAGCCGTCATTTGTTGCCAGACTCTCTGCGTACAGGCGGCCAGCAACTGGAGCGCGTTTAGAATGCATCGTTCCGCAAATCGTGTCTGCAATATGGGAACCCTGATGACGTTACCAAGACGTGGTTCGCCGTTTGAGGCCGAGCACCTTGATGGCCGCCTCGGAGAACCTTGGGCCATCAAGGTTCTCGAGACTTTGGTGCACCTGCTCTCGATGCTTGAAGGCAACTTCTTACTATAGAGCTTGTTGGAAATTAAACGAAACATTACTCTAATGTCAACATTACATTGAGTGAACAAAACACCGTTTTCTTTTCCTCTTGTTCAACGGAATCTTGATCTTGACGCACGAATCGGCACGCCATCCAACATGGCCGACATCAACGAGACTACGCCAGCTATGCCACAACTTCACGATGTCCTAATCATCGGCGGGGGTCCTGCCGGTCTTGCCGTTGCCAGCAGACTCAGCGAGCACTTGCCTGCCGCCAGTTTCACCGACGATGAACACAACCGCTATACATGGCTCAAGAAAAGACAGGGCAAAGTGAGCATCAAGAAGTACAAGACCGGAGCCGTGAAGACTGCCGGCTCGTGTGCGGGTACGGCTAGAGAGCAGGCTCCAGCCATGGTCGTCCTCGACGCCACAGGAGGTAAATGGATGGCACGTTGGGACTATCTCTTCAAGACCTTTGGCATCTCGCATCTACGCAGCCCAATGTTCTTTCACATTGATCCTGCTGAACGTGATGGCCTCTTGTCATATGCACACATGAGTGGACGAGGCAATGAACTCACAGAGCTCCGCGGCTGTGTTGGCAAGGAAATGAGCAAGCACAAGTGGAAGAAGCGAGTGAAGGCTCGCAGAGAGTACGTGGTCCTTACAAACAATAATCATGGCTGGATCGCTGACATGTTCCAGACTCGGTGATGGACCTACTGTTGATGAACGCGACCGCAACGATTACTTCGTGCCATCAACTCCCCTTTTTGCTTCTCACTGCGGTTGCATCATCGACCGCTATGGACTACGAGAAGACATCGTACGTCATGAAAAGGCCGTCGACATCAAATTTGACTACTTTGATGATGTTTGCCAAACCGACAAGGTCTTTCGCATCGAGACAGACAAGCAAATCTACTATTCTCGCACCGCTGTTCTTGCAGTAGGCCCTGCCAATGATCCGGTCATCCCCAGCTACCCGGGCACCAACAATGTCGAAGCCAGCACGCATGCTTTGAGAATCAAGGAATTCCCCTCGCCGCCAGTCCAAGAGAAAATTGCGGCAAAGAAACCCACCAACCTCCTCGTTGTTGGAGGCGGATTGACCTCGGCTCAATTGGCAGACTTGGCCATCCGCCGCGGCGTGACTAGAGTGTTTCTCATCATGCGTGGCCCTCTCAAATCAAAGTACTTTGACATTGGACTGGAGTGGGTGGGCAAGTTTCGCAACTTTGAACAAGCGGCGTTCTGGACCGCAGACTCATTGGAAGAACGGATGGAAATGATTCTAGCCGCGCGTGATGGCGGCAGCATCACGCCTCCGTACAAGAAGGTACTCGACCGCCTTATCGCTAACAACAAGGTGGTTCTGTCTCTTCACACCACGATCAAGTCGAGAAACTGGAATGAGGAAACTTCGACCTGGGATGTCGAGCTCTCTGGTGGCCCAAAGCTACCGCCAATTGACCACATCTACTTTGCCACGGGCGTGCAGAGTAATTTCCAGACTTTGCCCTATCTACAATCTCTGATACAGCAATATCCAATCAAGGACTGCGGAGGCATGCCATGCATTACCGAGGACATGCAGTGGAGCGAAGAGGTTCCCTTGTTCATGGCTGGAAGGCTCGGTATGCTGCAACTTGGCCCGGGAGCACCAAATCTCATTGGCGCCCGCATCGGAGCTGAGCGCATCTCCTGGGCTATCCAGGAACATCTCAAGGAAAAGAATGAAGACAAGACCAAGAAGTCAGGGTCTCAATTTGATTATCTGACTGCGCGGGGCAGTCGGTTCGAGGCATTGGTCGAGGAGTAGCTGTTTTCCGTTCGAAGGGTATTCAATGTGCGTATGCACTTTTCATTAAATGAGCTGTAGAAAGGAAATAGCCGTCAAGGGCAAATCTTGCTCATTTGACGTAGAATTCTTCAACTGAACACGATCTTGCCATGTGCATCTCTCAATCACTAAACGCCTCTTTGAGCCGCCATGTTGCTTGCTGTACTATTTCATGTCATTTACGCGACCAAGAACATTGGTGAAAGTTCCCTCATCGTCCTCATGTGGTTTGACCCGCGCATTCTGGCAACGGTGATTGCTGTTTGACAAGTGAGATGTGTTTCCGAATGCCACTGATGGCTTGCTCCATCCGTACGAAGTTCACAGGTTACGGACTTGGCACGGAATAACGACAACTCCCTTGGAACTTTTAGCCAGTCGACTGGGGTTGGTCTCACATTGCTGATTTGCCTGCGTCAAGCATTATACTATCATTGGAATGTGTCGCAAATCATCGCGATCCTGATTCGCCGTTCTTCATCACGGATCACGAGCAACTTCACGAAGGAGATACAGTGGTTAAGTTTTGGTACTAGACTATCTCGTCTATGTCTCCATAAATCCCATGTCAAGTCGGGCCTCAAGTGTTACCAGATGAAAGTGCCAACGACTGTGCTTTCCCTCCCACCGCTGTGTTTGTCTCTTTATTCCATGCCATATTGTTTAGATGCATCTGCTCCGAATCGTCAAATCAACCTTTTTTTCCCTTTGTTCTCCGCCGTTTTTTTTTTTTTTTTTTGGATTGTTTGTTTTGAAGAAATGCTTGGGCGCCATTCCCGAAAGTCTCCGCAAGGTCTGTTGTAGAAAGTTCCCAGTACCGGCAATTGCTCCACCATGATAGATGCCATGCTGTCCATCAGAAAACAGGAGTCAAGTCAAGAGAAAACAAAGCCAGCAAATATGAAGACAACCGCAAAGCATTCCGATAAGCGCCCACCGAGGCTTCTTCTCCAGAACTTGACCGGATCACTCCAGGTAGTCCTCTTCGACATACGGGTTGCCGGCATCGTCCTCGACTACGCGTCCCAGAAGAGAGGCGATTTCTTCGCGGGATGGAGTGGTGTATTTGAGTGCCGACTCAATGTTGTTGAGCTTGTGGACCTGAAGACTTCGCAGTCTCATGTCGATCGAGTTCTTCACAAGCAGAGTGGTAAAATGAGTCTTCTTCAACTGGCCCATGCGGAAGACTCTTGCGAATGCCTGGAGCTCAATGGCTGCGTTCCACCACGGCTCTGTAATGATGACTCTGTTGGCACAGGTAATGTTGAGGCCAACTCCACCACACTTCAAGGATGCAACCTGTTCATCATGTTAGTCATTAGTCTTCACAGACTGAATTCTTTGGATGTACTTACCAAGACTGTCATTTCGGGATTCTCGTGGAAATCCCTGATGACGGTGTCCTTCTGGTCTCTGCTGAGAGATCCCCAAAAGTATGCAAAACATATGCCTTCATCCTGGAGCATACGTCCGATGATCTGGTGGGTCTCCTGGAACTGGCTGAAAATGATGATCTTGTCCTCGGGATGGTTCTTTCTGCAGTTCAACACTAGCTGCTTGATCATGGTAGTCTTTGCCGATGGAACCAAGGGCAGTGGGTAGTCCAAATCGGCCACGGCAAGCCAGGCCGTGTTTGCTTCTGCTGGCTGTGGCTGTCTTCCGTAATAGTCGTCACCCAATCTCCGTCCATCTCTGCCTTGAGGATCGGCGGGAGCAGCATCGCGATTGGCATTGGCTCTCATTCTGGCAGCAAGGAACTCTTGAAAAGCACGCGCCTCTCCGAGTGCAGCATTGTCCTGAAAGGTCGCCTCGGTTGGATCTCCCATGGTTCGAACATCCTCAATGGCCTGGCGACATACCATGCACTTTGGCACACCATCGCCCACCGTTGCGGCCTTAAGGAATTGATCATTTATGCAACCTCGGCAAGAGACATGGCCGCACTACAAATGCAGATATTTAGCACTCAAAATTATCGTTGGAAGTCACTTGGGGGCACTCACCTTCGGGCGCTGTCCGTCCACAAGATCTTCGAGGCATACGACGCAACGGTCCTCGAACCTGGCTGCTCTTGAACGTTTGATGTACGATTCAAGATGGAGGATGCCGCCATAATCACTGAGACCGAATGACGGAAGTTCACTCATTTCCCCAATGTCGGTAGCATGACCAATCAGTCTGAGACGATCGTAGTGGACTTTGAGCTGCTCGACCACAGGCGTATAGAGCTCAAGACTTGAAAGCGTCGATATCATGTGGTCGAAGTCCTCCTCATGGCAGGTATCTCTGAGCGCCGGCTCAAACAGGAACGGGTGCATTGTTGCTGCCCGCAGCCGATTCAAAGCTATGAGGTGCAGCTTGAGACCCTTTTGATCCTTTTCGTCTTTTTGCCCCTTTGATGAGGATCCTCCGGATTTACCGCCTTTCTTACCTCTGCCATTGGAGGATCCGCTGGATGATGCATTGCCTGCGGCGTTGGCCTTGGCAATTTCCTTGATCGACTGGTTCCATTTCGTTCGCAGGCGATGCTCCACACGTCTTTGAATTTTTAGCCTAGGATTGAATATGTTTTCAGTCTTGCTTACCTGTACACAATCTCCTCTTCCTTGGAGAAGGGCACCGCGATCACTTCATCAAAGCATTCGGGAATCTCGTAGAGCTGTCGACCTGCAAATTGTCGACCAAGGGTTCTGATCCTGTCAGTGATCTGTAATAATCAAAACATGGCATGTTGGTTACATACTTGCGCTGCATGATTGTTTCCATCCAGGCTTTAAACTTCTTCTTGTTCTTGGCCTGCTTCGCATTAGCTCTCTGGGATGACTGAAAGGAGGTTTAGGGTCCTACCATGTGAAGATTGTCGAGCAATTTGGTAAAGTCCTTGGCAGTTCCGCGCCAAGGCACACGGATGAATTCCAAGTATGCCCAGAGCTCTGTATATGATTAGCACTTATTGGCCGGCATGTATGAGTTGGCTGACATACCTGATGAGTAATTTGGCATCGGTGTACCGGTCAGACACCATCGGTACTCTGAATCAAGCTCGCGACATGCTTTGAACACTTTTACAGTTTAGTAGAAGCAATCTTTGAGTGTAGAACGTTACTCACACTTTGTTGTAACTTCCTTGATTGCATGAGCCTCGTCAATGATGACTCTCCACCACTTATTGTGGAATAGAAAACCAAGATGCTCAAAACGAAGCTGCTCCTTCGTTCCTGGGTCACATAAAGGGTTTTCATATTGTTTCAGGATCGCATTCGAGAAGTAAGACCTACGCAGCTGGTCGTGGCTCACGAAGCTATGAAACTTGGTCAGACTATTGGTTCTCTAGCTTGAGGAGGGGGCAAGAAAAGGAAGGAAAGCTTACATGATATCCTGGGTTTCCAGATTTCTGCTTCCACCTCTCTCTGCATTCACTCCGCGGTATACCATGAAACTTCGAACGTATTCCTTTTTGGTGAATCGTTCAAGTTCCTCCTGCCATTGTTGTAGGACGTTGGAGGGGACAATGATCAGGGTTGCTGTACGGCCTTGGTCTTTGGCCCTCTGGTTGGGAGGGTTGGTGAGAATGTTGAGAATAGCTTGGTATGTCTTTCCTGTTCCCTGTTCATTTGCGATGATTCCTCCCTTGTCTTCGCTATACTCCTTCTCGTTCTGCCAACTGGCTCCGCACATCTGGTGCGGTCGAGCAGGCTCCGCGCTGCCCGTGATGAGATAATTTCCGTCGGCTAGCTTGACACAGTGTCCTTCACCAAAGGAAGCAGCGCATCTCAGAAGCGTAAGTTGGTCAGGGTTGAAGACTTCTGGGTGCATGATATCAAGCAGAGTCTGGTGTGCATCCTCATTGTCGTTGTCGGCCGAGGCCTGAAGACCATCCAGAACGGAATCTCGCGACATGCGAGCTTGCGTTGGATTATCAAACTGGAGTTTCCCCATTGAATGCATTGCACCTTGTTTGGCCAAGTCTGAACCGTCCTGCATCCGGTCATAGATGCGCGGGCGCGTTCTGGGTTTCTTGTTGGTGCGTTTTCCATCTGTGAGTGTTGGCTGCTCCAAAATCCTGCGCTTGTTGGCCAGGTCTCTGACACGGTTCTTATTGCGCTGCTCCCAATAATCCTCGGTCGACTTAGCTATCTTCCCTTTTCGAATGCCTGTGAACTCAGCAGACTGGCCGGTAATACCCGTGGGAATAGGTAAGTGCAAGCAGTCGAACGTGTGCATCAGACTCTCTTGTCTGTCTTTGAGTTCCTCCATTTCTCGGTAAATAGCGGCCATTTCATAGTCTGCGTAAGCTGTGCCTATCTGTGCCAGAGTTGTTAGTCGTGCCTCGAGGGCAGCGACATCTCTCAAGACATTCTGATACTCAGCCTCCAGCAACCGCACTTGCTGAGGAGTGTATTGATGCTCGACCGGCACATCGTCAGTCATTGAGGGCTGTGGGCCTGAATCTGCCTGGCTGCCGTTGGTGTTGCCATGTTGGGCGTCCGGCTCATGGTTGGCGAATTGTTGGAAAGACATAAAGTCATTCATCGGATCATCATGCATTGGACTATTGCCTGCGTTGCGACTCTTGGCGGCCGTGTTCTCGTCATGAGGTGCAGAATCTGACTCTAGATTGTTCTCTCCTGCACGAGATGCAGATTGGTTCTCGTGTATAGGCTGCTGGAAATGGAAATCATCTGGAACAAACATCGAGCCGTCCTCATTGAGAATATCTTGAGACTGATTTTGGGACTGCGTATCATTGGGTGTAGAGACGGAAGAGAATGACCATGGTTGATGGGGAAAGGACTGGGCGCTCGTCTGATTTCGATAATCAGAGGCACCAGACTCAGAGTTAATGCCTGAATCTTGCGTAGTAGGCACACCATACTTCTCAGAGTCAGCATGATTGTTGCCACCATCCACTTGTTCCTGTCCCATGGAATTATCATGGTTGAGATTTGGATTCGGACTTGGGATCGCAGGAGAGGTATCTTTGTTGCATTGATCTTTGACAAGTGCATCAAACATGTCTCGAACCTCGGGCGAGTAATCATGCGGACCCTGAGGATCCTCGGGCTGGGGGTCCATTGTGCTTTGACAATGGACCTTATGTGAGGTCCAAGTCTCAAGGCAGAGCGGATGAGGGAGGAGCGTAATGTTGGTGATATTTGAATGAGCAAATCAACCGTGAATTGGGTTTGCTTGAATGGCGACGACGCAGTGCACAGAAGAACACTGCGTGATGTCTCTTAAAGGTAATAAGAAGAGAGGACGAGTTGTAAGGGTTGGTCGAAGATTGGAAAGATGTTGGATAATTGATACTGCTCCAAGAAGAAAAGGATTGTGTTATTGGAATCGAGGGAAGGAACTATTTTTCGGCACAGTAGAAATTGAGAATTCTGACTTGGACCAAGGTCAAGAACCTGTGAGGAAAATGGAAGGCACAAGAAACCGGATTTGATGTTCCTGAAGAGTGACGAAAGTCGGATAGGGTAGTGTCGTGGGTTGAGCTCGTCGTTAGATACTTGGGGATATTGACGAAACTTGGAGTTGCAAATAGGCAAACCAGTACAGGAGATAGAACAGCTTGTGTATTTGGTTTTGGGAGGCTCATTCGCAAATCTGGAGAATGGGAAGGGGAATATGGGGTTGACTTGGGATGTGTTGAAAAGATCTGGTTGTGTAATTTGGAGGTTGAAGTTATGACCGTGGGATACAGTAAAAGTCGGCCTGCAGATGAAGATAACTTTGTTGAAAGATTGGAAGGCACACAAAAGATGTCGCTGTTAGGGCGATTGTTCGATGGTAGAAATAAAAGAGGAAAGTGACAATCTACTGCGAACTGAGGTTTCAGTGAAAGAGATTGTTGTCGATTGGGTTCAAGTGCAATTGGCCCCAAGTAGAATAACGAAAACTGTTCAGATTATTGAGGGCAAGAGCTTGTTACTCGCTTGTAGGTGCAGGTCAATGATTGTTGGTGAAGGCCATTCTTTTCAAGTCAAGTACTATTTTCAGACAACAATCTACATTTATGTTTTGTGTCGCACTTTATAGGAGGCAACTACCAACGAAGAGCTGTCCAGTTTCCAAAATCTGCCACGCGCCAAATGATAGTGAAATCAATACTTTCATTGCCCATCGAGAATTTATGCAACAAGAGCAGCTGCATCAAGTGAGCCATTCAGACTTTTTCAACTGTGCTACACTATTTCCCCGGTGGAAGACGCCAAAACCTACTCTGACCTTTGTCATCGCCAACCTTGAAGCGTGCTCTGGGAAAGAATACATCTATTTGCAACCATAACCCTCAACATAGCCAATTGTCGAAGAATCGACTCATGAAGGACGAGACCAGAACAGTCGGTGTTGCTGGTAGGATTGTTCACCATGCGCTCTAGAAGCTGAATAGTATTTGCTGTGGATCTCAGCCTTCTCGTTGTCATGGCATCATTTGGTACGACTATTCAAAAAGTAGCACGTGATTAATGAACTACCGGATGTGATGGAAAATAATTGATTGCTATTTGGGAGGCAGGTACAGAATATGGAGGATGCTAACAAGGCCGCTGATTGGCTTGACTGTAAGCTGATGAAGCTCAAATAGTCATCCATCGTCCAATAGTAGAAGAATGATTTAAAAATGCCTATTTTGTATGCAATAGCCGAGCCAGTAGATGGCGAGCATTAGGTCAGGCAGTGAGCGCGGAATAGAGCCCGGTTGGCGCTTCGTTGGCAACTTTTTTTTGCCAGCTGGGGGGCACGCTTGCACCACCAACGTTGGCCCCGAGATCCATGCTGGGCGGCGGCAGTCAGCAAAACCCGGTGTCGGCCAGAGCTCAGATTGATGGTAGTAGGTATTTGGGGATTATGACATGACTCGCACCTCGAGTCGCTTTACATATGCGCGTTGAGTAAGGCGGCCGTTTTTCGTATCTGACCTGGTTTCTACCACATATCCACGTTACGCGATGGATTTTACTAGAGATGAGATATGCCGGTGGCCCTCAACTCCAATACCCCAAAGCCACAATTGGTGGGATGTGGCTGGCTTGCAGGTAGCATCATGTACAGAGGTAGCTGCATTGTAACACCATGACTTTTTTGACCGGCTTGACAACAAGGGAACAGCATTGGACAATTGCGTTTCACCGCCTGGGAGATTCTGCCTATCATTTGCTTGATAGGCCTACAACTTTTAGTGGCATCAATGACGATGTTTTGCTGGACCCCTATCACTAACCGAAACCACCACTTGTTACAACTAATCAAGTTTCCCTATCTGGTATATTCCTTCCCCCGCCAGTCGTCTCCATCGCAATGCCATCGCCCGCCCACGACACAACGCAATACCCCGCCGGCCGGTGAACCGACGTGCCGCCTGCTTCTGCTGCTTGATATTATCATTGTGGCCGGAAGACCGCTGTGATGCCGGATGACGAATGCTGGGAATACTCTGGCAGATGATTGCACAGTGAATTACTGGACCATTCGATCAGAGTAGCTTGGAAGGATTCGACGTTCAATGGTCATGCGCATCCTGCCCGTGTGCACATTTGTCACAACTCCCCCTTCCATTCGCTCCCCCAAAAAGCGAAGCCGGCATTCCACACGACTCGCGCTAGTCTATCCCGTTCCCATACCGAGTATCTGGTCTCCTCCACTTACATGATTGTAAATCCCCGGGTCTGCTGCTGCTATCTTTCAACCTTAACTCTTTTTACTTTATTTGTCTGATAATCTGCTGATTGATCTTTACTCTTTTATTGCTTTATATCATTGGTCCTGTGTTTTTTTGTGTCTGTGATATATCCTCCTCACGATATAACCCTCTTCTGCTGGTCTTTTGCCTCTTGCCAGTCGCGTGCCCCTCCCCCGCCAATTGAACACCCCCCCAAAGCCGAAACCGCTCGCCTTCTACGTCAAAGGAAAAAAGAAGACCAAAAAAGAAACAATGGGCTCCCAAATTGCACCACCACCAATCCGCCTTGCGATCCTCGAGACCGACACGCCCATCCCGTCGGTGCAGGCCAAGTACGACAACAAGGGCTACGGCGCCGTCTTTACGGATCTGTTCCGGCGGGCATGCGGCGGATCAGACGAGGCGCTGCGGGCGGCGCTGGACCTGTCGGCCCACGACGTGGTCAACCAGTACGAGACGGCGTACCCGGACCCCGAGACCATTGACGCCGTCCTCATCACGGGCTCCAAGCACAACAGCTTCGAGGACGAGGAGTGGATCCTGCGCCTCGTCCAGTACACCCGCCGCCTGCTCGAGGGCGGCCGCGTCCGCATCATTGGCGTCTGCTTTGGTCACCAGATCCTCGCCCGCGCCATGGGCGCCAAGGTCGGCCGCAGCGTGCGCGGCTGGGAGCTCAGCGTTGTTCCTATGAGCCTGACGGAGCAGGGCAAGAAGCTATTTGGTAAAGACACACTGGTAAGCCTTTCTTTCCCTTTGGGGGGTTGGGAAGTTCTCTCTTATCGAGAGAGAGAGAGCATAACCACACAAATATGAAACAGGAGATCCAGAAGAACAAGTCTTGTCTTGCTAACGTTTGCACGCAACGATAAACAGAGAATCATGCAAATGCACCGCGACATTGTCCACGAGCACCCACAGGGCACACTGCCGCTGGCCCACACGGACGTGTGCGCCGTGCAAGGCTTCTACGTCCCCGGGCGCGTCATTGCCGTCCAGGGCCACCCCGAGTTCACCGAGTACATCGTCTCCGAGGTCCTGCGCATGCGCCACGACCAAAAGATTTTTGGCGACAACTTGTTTGAGGACGCCATTGGCCGCGCCGCCGATGAGCACGATGGTGTGCTCATTGCCCAAGCCTTTCTCAAGTTTCTGCGCGAGTAATGCATGGTTTTTACAATTGTTTTTCTTATACTTTTTGAATATCCTTTCTGCTGGGTGGCATTTGGTAGTGAACATTGGCCATGACTTCGAATCCTACTGTACGGGGATAAGTGAAGAAAATGAAAGTCCGAGTCGGGGAATGAATGTCGGGATGGACCAAGGTCGTCATTATTTGCTAAGGCTGTTTGCGGGCGTTGTGTCCAATGGGGCGGGTATACCCAGATTTGACAGCGTAGATCTCGTATATAGATATATACCTTGTGTGCTGCGAGGATAGAAAGGGGGGTGGGCGTTTAAGCCCTGCAATTGAAATGCTACATTACTTGAGCTGCTAGATTGCTGTGATTGGTCTGATAGGACGGATAATGGCAAGCATATTACAACGGATAACTACCTACATGAGCCACACATGCAAATAGATACCTAAGCATGTGCCAAAATAGACTTGGGGTGTTGGAAATTATGTTATTTGCGGTATTATACAATACTATAATTATATGGCGCGCAAGTCTTCGCAAGATGTTGCCCAATCCGTAGTGCTGGTTCAGAAAATCAAAACTGCTATATGAACCTTAAAAAAACGCCGCGCAATGCGAATGCTATCATGCTATATCCCAGACGAATCAACCTTGTACGCCTGTGCTAATTCCAAAAATGCAGTCGCCTGATGCTATCTCTAATATATGCTTTCTGTCGGTCATGCATGCATTTCTCTCATTGCGAGTTCTGTTCCTCGATATCCCACCACTCTCTTGGTGTTCTCGATGTTCTGGCCTTTTGCATTGCTGCTGCTGCCTGTCGATCCGCTTGCTCCACATTCCGCCTGTCGAATGCGGCCGATGCGTCTCGCCGCTGCTCTTCCCTCGATCGTCCTCCTACCCGTCGCCGGCGAATGATCCTCAACCGTAACGCCAGACCTTCCCAAAAGCCGACACGGGAAAACCGCCAGGGCTTCTCCCATGCGCTGTAGAAAATGCAGTCAACAGCTGCACCGAAACAAAGGCTAGCAATGCTAGCGACCAACACGCCATACGGCTGTTGTGCTGAAACTCCCGTAGGATTTTGGTATTTGTAGACGTGGGATACGAACGGAGCGACCCAGGCAATTATATAAATCAGCGGGTACACAAACAGAAGCCGTAGTTGACGGTTCATCTTGTCCCGAGATTTTCGCAGCGAGTCCTCGGTCACTGATAGTGGCCTGTACAATGAGGGATACGAACTTTCGCCTCCATCGGTGATTTCTGGCGTATCTCGCTGTAGCATTCCAGAGTATCTGGGCGCAGTACTGGTGACTGTCACACTCGCGAACGATAGAGGGCGTTGCCAAAAGGGCTTTGCGAATGACTGCCGACCAGGTGGAATGCGTGGTTTGGGGGTCTGCGCCATCGAAATAGTCGCTGGGTAAGAAGTCCTTTGCGCGATTGGCGGTGGTCTCGTCAGGGTGGGCGCATCCATATCTGGCGATCCCACAGCTTCGGTCAAGTGCGAGGGCAAGGTTGAGCCCGTGGCATCGCGGCGTGGTGCAGAATTTGTGGCACCGTCGTGATCCGCCATGATCCAGTTCCACAAAAGTGTACCTGCTGCCTCGGGGGTTTGTGGTTCTTCTTGGGGCAGTGGAGCCCCTGGTGTAGGCGTTGGGGTTGGCGTAGGCACTGTGGGCTCGTTCAACTTGAGCGTGCTCACATCAGAGGTGGCGGAATTTCGCCTTTCTCGCTGTCTCTCCATGGGGGTTTGTGCATTCGATAAATCGAGCAGGCCATTGTATGTCAGAGGCGGAGTTGGCGGAACGGCTGCAAACCTTTGCAGTTGGGACTTTGGCGACGGCATACTCTGAAAGCTTGCACGCTTCTGATCCAGCCGCAGTTTTCGGAAGCGCCACGCAACGTAGACGTAGAGGAATGCGTATACAAAGAATATGATGCCGAAAATGATGTATCGGGGAACCCAGCTCAGGTAGATCCGATACCAGCCAGGAGATCCTGGCAGATAGCAAAAGGGCCCATTGTCTGCGAAGCGAGAGCCAGTAATGGGAATGACGGCTGCCATGGCCAGGGGAACCACGAGCCAGATGATGTAGGCATATCGTCGATATGGATGTAGTCCGGTCTCACCCCCAGGTGTTTGGATTCGAAGGATGTAGAGTGCCGAGTGTATTGCAATCATGAGTACCGCAATATCAGAAGCCTCAATGGCAGTGGTCAGAAAGAAGCCACTTATCTGACAAAATGCACTGTTTGAGTTGATGGGCCCCTCAGGTCCCGCGATGAAGTAGATGATGGGGCTGATCATGAGCCAAAAGGCCTTCATCATATCACTCTGGATGAGGAGCATGATCAGGTCTTGCCTGAAGCTTCTTCGCATCCGAACGAACCAGTAGAATGCAATGAAGGCAGCAAAGACGCTGATGGTCGCAAATGTCACCGAGACGGCCTCGAGAGCAAGGACCTGGCTGTCGGTGATGTTGCTTGTGTTGTTTGAACGGTGGTCGCCATCATCATCATCTCGAATTGCCAGGAGTGGGAACGCCCACTCCTCCTGCGTGGCCATCCTCTCCTTGGATAGCCGGTATGTTTACTTGTCGAATTGGGGTGAGGATGCAGCATTCTAACCGATGAGACTGAGAATTGAGTGACGTAATAGTCGTCGTGGGCTGGTAATATTAGTAGTATTACAGCAGCTGTGTGGCTAGCAGATAGACCAGCGGTGCTTTGTAGCGATGCCAAAATAAGTCGGTTTTAGTCGATATGAGAGAATCGTAGCCAAGATGTTATGGTGATTGAAAGTAATAGCAATGCCTATGCCAAATGTCGCTTGTCTTTCCCAAAAAAGCAAATAATGCTGTGTGCGTTGATGATTTGTCGTATCGTATCGTGTCGAGCTGATTACTAGAGTCGAAGCGAACTCTAGTAGGATGGAAAAGAAAGAAAGAAGAGTTTCTTGCGGCTGAATGACGCGCACAAGGGAATAATGATAATAGGCACTTGCAAAAGAGCAGTACTAAATGTAAGGTCAAAGTCCGGGCGGCGCGCTGAAATGAGCTGCTGAAGTAATTTTCTCGGTGCTGGCTAGCATCCGGCGGCTGGACGGGTCTGTATCATCCGCACTACGTAGCAGCAGCATTCATTCTCCCCGGCCGGTTTCCATAGACCGAGGAAGTGGTGATGAGGTTTTGGTTTGTGCGGCTGGAAAGGCTCAACGGGCCGCATGCCCAAGAGGCAGTAAGCAAGTTCGGATTGGTAGGTTAACCAAGGTTTTTTTTTTTGTGTTCTTCTCCCTCCGTCTAGTGACTTTGGTCAGCCGGGCGTGCCAAAGTCTGCGTGTGGTTGAGCGTGACAAGCTTTTCTAACGCACAAGTAAACTCTTAAGGCAGATGAAGAATTGCCGAGACGAATGGTGCAAAGTCTAAGAGGTAGTAGTAGTAGTAGTAGTAGTAGTAGTAGTAGTAACAGTATAGATCAAGAACAGACAGACAAGAGCCGGGAGGGAAAACCCGGGGAAAGAGGGTCTAAAATGTGGTTTGGTGTGGAAAGGGGATTTTTTTGTGGTCGTGTGCAGGTGAACAACGGTATGGCGTAGGTACCGTCTAGTTATGGCGTCCGGCGGCGACAACAGCATGGGACATCCCCATCAAGAAAATCAGGCAGGGGAGGGAGATCTTGTTTGGTTTCGGAGGGGTGCAACCGAGGAGCCCTGTAAAGACGACTCAAGTCAAGGACCCGGGAGAATCGGAAGAGGTAATTAAAGAAGTGAAGTTTTTTCTCCATCTCACTCTCTATCCTTCTCTCTTGTTCATGCTTGGTTGCCAATCTGGAAAAGAGACTGCAGTGATGTACTCTGTACAGCGAGGTAGATGCCACCACTATTGGCGGGATTGGGGGCTTGAATGTACTGCATGTACGCAAATATCGATCAATTTGATTTACCATGGACAAGTACAAAGTACCTACGTACTGGGTAGCAATTGGCAGTACAGAGTATGCAGCAGTACCAGTCAGACAAGCATGATGGGTGAGAGAGACCAGACTCAAACTGAGAGGATCAGCGAGGCGAACTGAATTCCCCATCGTGCTTGGCACCAATCTGCTGCCATCTGAACTTGATGTGCGGCCGATCCATGGGACATTTTTGGATGGTGGAGCCCATGTTTAAGAGGGTGCGGCGGCGCTCGCTGGTCAAGGGACTAGAACTTGTCAAGGGAAGCTGAGAGAGAGGAGAGAGAGAGAGAGAGAGAGAGAGCGAGAGCAAGCTGCAGCAGTGGTACTACTCCCACTACTATCCAGCTGAGCTGATAATGATGAGTAGTACTTCTTTGTATGCATGCGTGTCTGTTTGTGGCTAAGACGCAGTGCCCAACGTTTAAAAACGGCGTGAGTGTTAATTGTGATCGCGCCGGGAAATGAAAATTATGTACCGAGATGATTTCATGGCAGCTTCCGACCCGACCGCTACTCTCTAGTCTCCTCGCCCTGTTAGCAGAAAGCGCGTGGTAAGCGACGGCGCTAAGCAAACACCATTACCCAGTTGGTACATAATGTACCGAGTAATACATAATTGATTTATAAAAAATAAAAAAAACCCCGCCAGCTTCGCCGCTGTGCTAATGGCTGCTGGTTATTATTACTACATTACTGGCAACACTCAAGCTGGCTGGCAGTCAAGCAAACCAGGCAAACTTGCTGCTGAACTTCGAGCGCCGGCATATCCCTGCGTTGCTGGCAGCGCGCTACCGAGATTCGAACCCACCCCGTTGGAATTGGTACATTTTTAAGGGTGCCGCTGTTGCTGACTGATGTTTGGGTGGAAATTGAACAGTGAGACTGGATTGGACGTTGTTGGATTGGGGGTGAGGGGAGGGGCTTTCAAGGTCAACTTGCAGCTCAGCAGCGGGATTGGTGAAAACTATTTGACTTTGTCCCAATCAAGATGTAAAAGAGTAGGAGAAATGTAGATAGGTGTATACAGCTGATGCGACACGCAGGCGGCAGGCAGGATGAAGGGGATGATGGCGGGGCAGCAGTGGACAACAGGTTCATGAGTGGTCAGGTCGTATTCGGTACCTAACGTGCCTACCTAGGTATGTATGTATGTATGTGCGGGATGCGTAGCTCTCGTCGCATCTCGTCCGACGAGACGTGGTAACAGATGGACAGTCCAACGACATGCCAATTGGGAACCAGTCATTGTCCTTGTCGTCGCCGATTGTCACGAGAGGCCCGGAATAATAAAACAAAACCGCCCCCAAATCAAGCGGTTGTATGTATGCATGCCCCCTTTGGGTTTGGGTTTGGGTTTCCTGCTGGCTCCCTCTCATCATCGTCATGGTCTGCGTGTGCGTGTGCATGTGGTGCTCTGACCACGGGTCTGACTTGATGCATAGTATGTATAATGAGTGGTTCTTTTCCTGGAAGATATACGTCACTGCCTGCGAGATGGAGGAACTCTTGAAATGTTGTCTACACAGTATGTCTATCTTACATACAGTCAGTTGGATTCATCCCACATCTTTTGATTATTCCGTCTTCTGACACGGCTCATGTGATCTGGGTTCAACACCTTATTAATAATAATTCCCATGCCAAATTGAAGCACGAGACAGGCAAGACCAGAATAGATCAAACTCGCGCCTGTCGCTTCACTAGACGCTTTCGCTCATAGATGATTAACGCGAAAAGCCAGTCAAGTGCGTAGGTAGCCTTGATGGCATGTCGGCACAATTACCGCAAGCGCAGATCCTGGCCGGGATATTTACCTGGTATGTAGGCCTTTTTTCCTTTTTTTCCTTCTCTTTTGACCTTCGTATTTTTTTATTTTCTTGGTCCTCCCTCTTGGCACTAATAAATCTCCGCCCACGTTTGTACCCACGCAAGGGACCACCCACTCACTCACTACTTGCAATTCCACCTCCACTATCAACCACTGACTGGACTGGACTTGATTGACCACAGATGCAGCAGACGTTTTCATGTCTGACTGACTGGTTTGGACTGGACGACGACTGTTACTCTCTGTTCGTCGCTTTGCGTCGGTTCCGAGTTTTCTCGGAGAAAAACCCTTTTTTAAGTTAACAGAAGGGTAGATCCTATATGCATGCATGTCGTCAGTCAGGTGCCAGGTTGGCCGCAGCCTGTCCAGGAATGCAGATCTGTGATCAGGTCGCACATATCTAGGAACATTTGGTCGTTGGGTAACAAGACTTTTTTTTTTGGCTGGCAACTGGTGACTACACAGTAAAGTGAGTGGTTGAGTGGCATGCTGGCATGGTGGTTTGGTATGTCGCATTGAGGCTTGAACGCATGCCACGTATGGCCCAAGCGCCTGCATACTACAAGCCTCAAACCTGAATTAAGGGCGGCCGCGGCCCGATGGCCATATCTCACGTCCAGCGGTGTGCAGGTCCATTCTTGTCTTGTTGTAGGAAGCAGCAATTCAGGGACCGATCGACTTCTCATCTTGGTACACTACTACTACTACTACTACTACTACTACCCATTTTCCACCGCCCTCAGCCGCAAGGGGGGTGGTCGCCGCCTCCGTCACGCGACGACGAAGACGACAACCAGCAAACAAATTCCCATCATCTTCGTGAAGGGCCAAAAACGTGCCAACACATCATGGTGGCTGACAGGGCATTCGGGTTGGCACCGGGTCACACTCTTCACTATACTAGACGATACATGCCTAGCTAGGCATAGATTGAAGCCGTCGTGAGCCTCTCGAGGGGAAAGCCCACATCGTCAACATGTGTCTCGAGCATAGCGCAAGGGTATAGACAAATATCTCCGCAGTCGCTGCTAGAACTGGGGGTATAAAGTGGCCTACAACTGGGCCCTCATTGGCGGTGCATTACACTACGCAGGACGCATGCATACAGAAGACCACTATATTAGCGCTTCTCGAACTACTTCACTGCGTACAGCGCTTGGCGAGTTCTGTATGGCCAATGCCCTCTCAATATGTGGAAGCCGTCGAAAAATGCCGAAACGGGCGGTCGCATTGTCCCGACAGCGGTCAGCGCCGGCAAGCAGCGAGCATGCCATCTACGTTGCACAGCGGCGGCACCACCCCGATGGGCCCGACTATCAGATCATCTGATTAACGGTTGTCGTTATATATGTCTCCATGCCAACCTGTCCATGGTTACAAAGGACTGGGGAATATATCCAGGTTGAGACTACATCACAAATAACGGCTGGCGCACCGCTACAGAGTATACTCCCGATTGCACCAGGCGTTAAACATTTCCCACTCGTCCGTGTCTAGCCTCGCATGCATTCAAAGCGACAGAGCAATACTACAATACTCCAGAGGTGGCTGACAAGGAAGGATCCTGCCTAGGTACCTAACGACGCTGCAAATTTGACTAGCATACGGACCGAGGACGCATGCAGAAATACATGCAGGCATGGATCTACTACTTAGTGTCCAACATGCAGGAGTTCTTGAAACAGGACTCGTCGAAGCGAGTCAGCCATTTATATTTCAGAACGGCGATGCTTCTGAAAAGGTATTAACCGCGCAGGATCGTCCCATTTCCTACAAAGCGCCTCATCCGTTGGGGGTATGGTCGGTCATCTCAAATCTCTCTCTCTCTTGCAGCTGCAGCAGCGATCTCAATGGGCATCAATTCAAACAACGCCCATCATGACTCAACGCCAGGCTCGGTGCAACACAAACTCGACAGAGTTTAGTCAATGGCACAGTCGAATGTAAATGCCGAGTCCAAGGAAACTCTTTGTCTTGGTTGCCCAACTCCCACAGCCATGACTGATTATAGCGAGTAGTCCGCCATGACCTGTGCCACGTGAATCTTAGCAAGTATATTCGGGTCTAAGGCCTTGCCGCATCTAATTTCTTTTTCCTTATACTACGTACTAATTACACTGCATACTATACTGGAATGCGGAGAAAAACGTGCGCAGCCCGCAATATCAACGACACTGGAGAAGCCAGCAAAGAGGGGCGGGGTATTTTTTTTTTCTTCTCTCCCCTCTTCCCCCCTCCTCTAACCAGCACAAACGAGCGAATTGTTGTCTCAGAAAGGTACCAATGAGATCTAACTGGGTAATATCAAGACCGCTTGTTCTGCAAGCAGTTGTACAAATACAGTATAGCGAGCGGTACGTCCCGGCCGAAGTTCGCACCCAACCATACTATACATACGAAGCACAGGTGTAGTATATGTACTTGAGACTCGAGTCGGATGGAGATGTCCCATGAATCTGGCCTTTCATAGGCCAGCAAGCTTGAACCCACCAGTCGAAAGAGGTATGTACAGTCAGGAAAATGTTTGGTTCTGTCTTGACACCAGCCGCCAGTCCAGTCCAGTTCGGGTTGCTGGCCGCTGGCGTTTGGGCTGTTCCACGGAGTATCGTCCGTCGTACGTATTCAAGCAAGGGTGATATGACGAGCGCTAGCATAGCCGATGGGGTTTTACATGTGGACCATGAGTGGATAGTATAGCTAGCGAGTGCCAGAGAGGTAGAGACGAACCCTTTTCGCATCAGGACGGCCGTGGAATGATACCGCGTCGGTGTAGGAAGAAGAGCAGCATTGGGATATCGGAGCCTTATCCCAAAAAAAAAAAAAANAAAAAAAAAGACCAACGTGTGCTCATCATGGCTAGCTCATGTACTCCTGAGATATTGTGGGCACAGTATCGGACCAGAATGTACATTCTTGGCACTACATAGGGGGCAAACCTCTTTTGTAAAACATACCTGATCTAGTATATCAGCGCTCTCATCTGCGTATACTCTTTCCCTCTCTCTCTCTCTCTCCTAGATTGCATATTGAGAGGCTAACAAGGCCCTGGTAACCAACAGTCCAGAGAATATGCGTGTAGAGTGTCGGTGAAGATTTCGGAACATAATGGCAAGAATCGCCAACCTCTGCATTAAATTTTTCATCTGCACAGTGATTGGTCCGCGTGACTCGATGAGCTGTACGCCAGGTCACTCCCCCTCTCAATAATTGCTCAGAAATTGATCCTTCGTGCCATGATTTTCAGGCAATGACTTGAGCATTCTGGCTTCGAATGAGCAATGAGAATATCTATAACCTATAATCTTATCTGGCTGCGGCTACTGATCGACCATTATAGTGTCCGCTGCAGGGTTCAAGGTAGCATAGCCCTCCATATCCTTCATATCGCAAATCCTTTCTACAGTCTATCATCCAGTAGCAGCTGGATATACTCGAGCTAGGTCTGACAAGATGATATCGCCTCCGCGGCTAGACACGAGCCTAATTACATTGGCCAGTCTTGGCGAGCTGGTGAGTATCAGCACTCATTGGATTTAGCCTCAAAAGTGATATACGACCCCCCCACACAAAGGTTTTTTTTTTTTCTTTTTTTTCTGAGTGGTGTTGCGGCTGTTACCCCCAAGTGGAGAGGCTAAATCCCAAGGGACGAACGAGCTTCTTCACGAGCTCGGTCCTTGACCGCCATCAATCCAAGGCATCGTGGGGACCCTTTCTTACCTACTACTACGTACACCTGTGCCCAAGAGTTGTACCCGTCGCCTCAGCGACGGTGTGCTGTGTGCTCTCGTCTTGAGATGGTGACTTGGCTTTGCAGATGGTGTCTCCATAAGAAGGACTTTGCTGCAGTATGCCTCTTGGGCTGAAAACTCAAAGCCTGCGTATGCCCCCTTCAATCTCCCACCGCCGCATGGGCATGATCTCGTAATCGATCGCTTCCTCCCATTGATACCTTGTAGGAGGTCTGGAAAGTCTGGCCGCTCTGATCGACGGTCGATTGGTGGCGGATAACAGAAAATGCCCCTTAGATTACTCCGACGGTAGACCGCCAGTGCTTGATTGGCGTGACCTAGGGGCAGGTCAGTGGAATAACACGATGCAATAGGGCAGACGTGATATCCATATCTAATGTAAGGGCATTCTCGGATGTCACGATCCGGAGGGTGGCAAAACCACTAACCAATGGCTTCGTCTAGACTCTAGCCACTCGAAGAGATGGAAGACTAGCACTCGACCAAAATAAGGTATGTCCATGCTCCAGCTCGACATGGCGATCAACGGTGGACGGGCCTCAACGGCACTTGTTAGTCCCATACCAGTATCCTCAACATGCTATGCGGATTCCAGAAGCATATGAATCGTATTATGAAGTTCCGACACTCAATGAGGTATTGATTCTCACTCTAGATAGTTATATCGATGCCAACACTTAATACAAGACTTATTCTTAGCTCGACCACAGTCGGAAAACTCTATAAACTAGGTAGAACTATGCATCCAAACGCATGCGAAATTGGGTGCATAAGATGAAGAACGTCATTGAGACACCGATGGCAGTTTCTTATAGGTAGTTAATCACTGTTTCTTTCGAAACACTATCACATAGATCTTGATCACTAGTAATAAAGAATATGGGAAAGAAACCTGGATAACCAATATTGTTGCCCTGACCCGTGACCAATCTCCATACTCTTCACTGTCATATATATATAGAGAGAGAGAGAGAGAGAGAGAGAGAGAGAGAGAGAGAGAGAGAGAGAGAGAGAGAGAGAGAGAGAGAGAGAGAGA